AAATGAAATGCGATAGCATGCTAATTATTTTATATTCCCTCAGTAGCAAAAGACCTTAAGAACTTTACAAAATCTCGATAAGCTGGAAACTACTCCGCTTCGCGTCGTGGTTTCCTACGCTTATCTCGTGTTCTCCCAACCTCCTGCGTGTTTACATCAGGCTATGTAAACACGGAAACCATTTTACATTTCTTCAATATAAAATCATCAGCGAACGATTTCGAAGAGGAATCTATGTTCTCGAATCGACCAAAAGCACTGCTGTCCTCTCAAAATGGGAAAGCGCAAATATCGATTTCATCTGTTTCGCAAGCAAAGGAGTTAATCACCGACACCGGAAATCGCGACCAGGTATTCCTCGCGACTCCCCTAGGTTTGTTTTCCAGTTTGCCCAAGCCGCTGTCTATCAGTTCTTGCGTTAAAACCCATGAAACCTGCCAAGTGGAACTATGATGGCTACTGTAGCTTGCCGATAATTTCCGTCGGCAAAACGTAGAAGTCCAGTGTTTACGTGGCAGTTTCGCTTTCGCATGACAAAAAAATGAAGGAACGCCGCGGCTCAGCGCTAAAATTTTGACCTAGAAAAATTCAGTCGAAAACCCAATTAATATTGTTTGTACGATCGAGTAAAAGCTCCATTATCCAGTAGTGTTAACTATTACAACCACCTCCCACTCCTCCCTGCATAGTAATAGTCCGTCTCACACCCCTCCTTGAGTAATAACACTCTGCCTCCCACCCCTCCCTCAGTACCGATAGACTTCATTCCACCCCTCCCTCAGTAATAATGATGTGATCCCCCTTCAAAATGGTCCCAAAAAAAGGTATAAAAAAATGGTCCAAAAATTGGTCTAGTCCATATTTTACCCTATGCAGGTAACAAATAAACTGTAAAACAAAGGAATCAAAGAAAATCAAAAATATGTGAACTTGCTTAGTGCCAAACATCAGCGGTAAAGCCATTCCAAATCAAACATATCTGATCCAATTTTTATTGCTTTCTATTCCAGGTTTGATAACCTTCATGAAAGGACCAGAAATGTCATGGAATTTGACCAGCTCTCAATTATTTGTCCCACCTTAGTGGACTACCCCATCAAAAGAACAACTACTTATTTGAAAGACTTGTTGTATGAAAATGTATATATGGTGGACAAGAAGGGTTATGACAACTGTAATGCAACAGGAGGACTCAGTGTTTTATCCTGTAATGATCCAGAGGGACACATTTACTACAGGGTTGTATTTCAACCTCATACCGTTAATCCAAATGATCCAAAGTTTGAGAAAGGAAAAGAATACTACTTTATAAGTAAGTGCTAATGTTTCATAATAGTTCCAATTATTTTTTTTTCTAAATTCTGATTAACTGCAATCTAATGACCTCATTCCATGCATATTTTTATGTGCATTTATTTTTAATGCTGCATTTTTATGTATTTATGAATTTCTTTAAAATTTTTTGTGTGTGTGTATAAGAGGTGTTTACACTGAACTCTACAGCAGCTGTGTAGCGTCCACTCATAGCTACTTGAAACTGTACTTTAATCAGTTGTTCACTTGCTAGTTCGTTTCTAATCTGCACGTAACTTGTATTCATTCCATTCACAAATTGGACGTGAAAGAGAAAGATTCGCCGAAATAACAACAACACGACTATTAAAAAGATTACATTGACCGAACAACCGAAATACTGCATACTTACAAGTTATTGTGCCTTCTAAATAGAAAGGAAAACTTGTCCTAACGAAACGACAGTGAAACTCCATAACAAAACATGTGCTTTTTCGTGGGAAAGAGCGCCCGCGATATTTTGTGTGCGGTCACCGAAGACCACACCATATAACGTTTATTTTCTGTCTCTTACAAGCTGCTTCTTAATTTTACATGTATTGAGCTTTCTTGAATGTGGGCTACAAATTAAAAATATTTCTTTGAACATTTTTTTTGTAAGGGTTTTGTGGTTTCTGAGAAATGACTTGTCTAAGCTGCTTTTATTGCTGCTTGGATAACTCGTTTTTCCAGCAATTACATATATTTTGATCAGAGAGAAGGAAAGTCAACATCGTCTAACTGTAATTATCAAAAAAAATGCTTGTTGTGTTTTAAACTTGTATTGTTGGGGGATCAAAAGAAAAGCAGAGAAGCTGCTACATAACTTATAGTTTGATGGTCTCAGAAC